CCCGGGGTGTGCTCTCCAGAAGCTACCTGGAGCGCGCGGACGGGGCCTCCGGATTCAGGCCCGGCACCCTCTGAGTTGGACCATTTCCGTTAGGGCTCAAGGGCCGAATCACGCTGAACCCAGCGCACGGCGGCCGGGAGAGCCTTTAGGGGTCCCCGTCTGCGGGGCCACACCGGAGGGAGCTCAGAGTCGGGGCCGGGGCACCGGAACAAACGATCCTCGTCTGGTGAAACGTGCTACTCTGTGCCCACGTGGGGGTGGGGGGTTGGGGGACGGAGCGAGAGAGGGTAGGTGATCAGACTGTTCCAGTCAACCGGTAGGAGAGGGAGGGGTTCCTGAGGCAAATTACCCTGAACAAATGGGACTGAACCATCCCGAGTGCAGTAGGAGGTTCCAGGGACCCCTTAGCTTAGCGTTGAGGGGGCGCAAGGGACCCCGTAGTTGTGCTGGCTGGACAGCTGGACCATGCCATGCTGTGCCCGCAGACAAGAAGCAGGCATCAGGCCAGACTGAACCCGGCCACTGGCCAACTGGAGTGGTCTTAGCAAAGGTCTGAGAGGGCCCTGCACAGAGACTGGGGACTGATCCCGCAATCACCCCTGTTCTCAGGGCCCCGGCCTCTGAGCCTCACATCTCCCCATGCAGACGGGGAGCAGGCCCTGACCCTGTGCTCCCTACCCTTTGACCTTTTCCTTGCCCAGCTGCAGCCTAGCAGTCCAGCTATCCAAGGGGCGGGAGAGTGTTCTTATCATTTCTACGGACCCGGCCCACAACATCTCCGATGCATTTGACCAGAAGTTCTCCAAGGTGCCCACCAAGGTCAAAGGCTATGACAACCTCTTTGCCATGGTGAGTAGAGCAAGGCTCAGCTCCCCAGTCTGGCCACGGCTCATTCAGGTCTTTCCTGTGCACATCTACCATCGGCCCATCTACATCCTTTGTCATTCCAGTCTCGCCCCTTCTTCAGCGTCCCCACAGGGAAACAACTGAGGAATGCTTGTGAAGCAAAAAGGAAACCAGAGCCCTGACCAGTTTGGCTTAGTGGATAGCGCGTAGGCCTGCGGACTCAAGGGTCCCAGGTTCGATTCCGGTCGGGGGCATGTGCCTGGGTTGCGGGCACATCCCCAGTGGGGGGTGTGCAGGACGCAGCTGATCGATGTTTCTAACTCTCTATCCCTCTCCCCTCCTCTCTATAAAAAATCAATAAAATATATTTTAAAAAAAAAGGAAGCCAGAGTGACTAGACCAGGGGTGGGCAAACTTTTTGACTCGAGAGCCACAATGGGTTCTTAAACTGGACCAGAGGGCCGGAACAAAAGCATGGATGGAGTGTTTGTGTGAACTAATAGAAATTCAAAGTAAACATCATTACATAAAAGGGTATGGTCTTTTTTTTTTTTTTTTTAGTTTTATTCATTTCAAACGGGCTGTAGTTTGCCCACGGCTGGACTAGAGCTTAGTGAGCAAGGGGAGGGAGATATCAGAGAGGTCAGTCAGAGCCATGTGGTGTAGGACTTTGTAGGTCACTAGGAGCAGTTTGGCCTTGATTCCAAGTTTAATAGGAAGCTGTTCATTTTGAGCAGGGCAATGTCATAGCCTTGACAAGTTCCCTGTGGCTGCTGTGCGGAGAATGGATTATAAGTTGAGGCTGGAAGTAAGGGCAGTGACCAGGCAAGAGATAAGGGCAGCCAGTACTAAGATGGAGGCAGAGTGTTGGGGGACAAAGGTTGGATTTGTGATGGCTTTTGGAAATAGGGCAGTACAGCTGCTTGGTTGTAATGGGTGAGAGAAAGAAATGAATTTTTACTTTAAGAGAGGGTGGGAGGAAGGGGGAGAGACAGATGTGTGTCTCTCTCACATCAATTGGTTGCCTCCCACACACTCCCTGATTGGGGCCAAGGATCAAGCCCGCAACTGAGGTGCGTGCCTTTGATCGGAAACGAACCTGGCACCCTTCAGTCCACAGGCCGACACTCTATCCACTGAGACAAACCGTCTAGGGCTAAATACATCTCTTGGTTAGCCCCTGAGCAGCTGGGATAAGGAAGACTAGCAGAGAAGCAGGTTTAGAAGGGACAAGTCAAGAATTCTATTTTGACCGCAGTGAATCCACGGTGCTCACTGGACATCCAAGTGGGGACACAGGACAGTGGCTTAGCTGTGTGAGCCTGGAGCTCAGAGGAAGTTGATACTGATTTGGGGGTCCCTGTCCCGAGGGTGGTATTGAAAGCTGTGTGAGTAAAGGAGAATGTGAGAGAATAGGGAGCCCAGAGACAACCTGAGGGCATGTCAGCATTTAGGGTCCAGAAGTGAAGGAGCCATCGGGGAGGTGGGAGGCGAGACAGAGGTTATAGCCTCCTGAGCTTCAGGAGGACAAAGGAACTTGGGCAGAAAGAGGTTGTCTGCTCCAGCAGGTGCATCCGTTTGAGAGACCACTGGTGAGTGGGGGTAAAAGGCTGTCGGGAATGGGTGAGCTGTGGAATGGAGACAGTGGTCGCCATGATGGGGGCTGAGAAATGGGGCCATCACTGGAGGGAGACGGAAGGGGGGTTGAGGAGGGCTTTTTTGAGAAAGGAGACGCTGGAGCATGTTTGTTTGCCAGTGCAAATACTTTCCCAGGGAGGGACAAGTAGTGCTGCAGGAAGGAGTGAGGGTGCTGACGGAGGACTGTCCTCGGGTGGGAGTGAGCTACATACAGCGCACAGACCTCTTACATGGACTCCTCCGGGGCCAGGGATGCGGAGGCAGGGTGGAGGGCTGGGGGCATTTCCTGGGGGGAAGGGATAAGGTGTTGACAGCCAGTGGCTTTCTTTCTCTCTGAGGCCCAGGTGAGGCACACGTCTCAGCAGAGAGCGCGGAGTGACTGGGACGGAAGGGGTTGAGGAGGCATAAGCTGGGACATAAACACTCGCCAGGGTGGATGGCCTGGCT